GCTGAACCCAGTGCTCCCGTTGACCCTGATGACCCCAACGACCCCATAGCCGACCCCATAACCGCCCCCATTGCCCCCCAACACGGAAGCTGCAGACCCAGACCCATTGCTGCCCCCATTGACTCCATTGCTGACCACATCCACCCCATTGGCCCTATTGCTGACCCCACTGACCCCATTGCCTCTATTGGTGACCCCATTGCCCCCATTGACCTCATTTGAAGACCCCATTGACCCCATTGCCCCCATTGTCTCTATTGGTGACCCCATTGACCCCATTGACCCCATTTGAAGACCCCCATTGACCCCAATGACCCCATTACTGCCCCCGTTGCTGAACCCAATGCTCCCATTGACCCCAACGACCCCATAGCCGACCCCATAACCCCCCTCTTTGCCCCCCAACAGGGAAGCTGCAGACCCTGGACGTTCTGCTGCGGCGGCTGAAGGCCGGCTCGCACCGCGTGCTCATCTTCACCCAGATGACCCGGATGTTGGACGTCCTGGAGCGTTTCCTCACCTACCACGGCCACATCTACCTGCGGCTGGACGGCAGCACCCGCGTGGAGCAGCGCCAGGTCGGGGGGCTGGCCCCATAGCCGACCCCACAACTGACCCCATAGCCGACCCCGTTGACTCCGTTGCCGACCCTATTCCTGGCCCCGTTGACCTCGTTGATCGCGTTGACCCCGTTGACCCCGTTGACCACATTGACCCCATTGACCCTATTACTGACCCCATTGACTCTATTCCTGGCCCCATTGACCTTGTTGATCGCGTTGACCCCGTTGACCCCATTGACCCCATTGACCCTATTACTGACCCTATTGACCCTATTCCTGGCCCCATTGACCTCGTTGATCACGTTGACCCCATTGACCCTATTACTGACCCTATTGACCCTATTCCTGGCCCCATTGACCACATCGACCCCATTGTCCCCTTTGACCCCACGGACCCTATTTCTGACTATTGACCCTATTACTGGCCCCATTGACCCCCTTGACCCTATTACTGACCCTATTGACCCTATTCCTGGCCCCATTGACCACATTGACCCCATTGACCCCTTTGACCCCACGGACCCTATTTCTGACCCTATTGACCCTATTTCTGACCCTATTGACCTCGTTGATCACGTTGACCCCATTGACCCTATTACTGACCCTATTGACCCTATTACTGGCCCCATTGACCACATTGACCCCCTTGACTCCACTGACCCTATTACTGGCCCCACTGACCCTATTAGTGGCCCCACTGGCCCCATTGCATCTACCTGCGGCTGGACGGCAGCACCCGCGTGGAGCAGCGCCAGGTCGGGGGGCTGGCCCCATAGCCGACCCCACAACTGACCCCATAGCCGACCCCGTTGACTCCGTTGCCGACCCTATTCCTGGCCCCGTTGACCTCGTTGACTGTGTTAACCCCATTGACCACATAGAGCTCATTGATCCCATTGACCCTATTACTGACCCTATTGACCCTATTCCTGGCCCTGTTGACCACATCGACCCCATTGTCCCCTTTGACCCCACGGATCCTATTACTGACCCCATTGACCCTATTCCTGGCCCCATTGACCTCGTTGATCGCGTTGACCCCGTTGACCACACTGACCTCATTGACCCCCTTGACCCTATTACTGACCCTATTGACCCTATTCCTGGCCCCATTGACCACATTGACCCCATTGACCCCATTGACCATATTTCTGACCCTATTGACCTCGTTGACCACGTTGACCCCCTTAACCCTATTTCTGACCCTATTGACCCTATTACTCGCATCATTGACCTTGTTGATCGCGTTGAACCCATTAACCCTATTACTGGCCTCATTGACCATATTTCTGACCCTATTGATCCTATTTCTGACCCTATTGATCCTATTCCTGGCCCTATTGATCATATTGACCCCATTGTCCCCTTTGACCCCATTGACCCTATTACTGACCCTATGATCCTATTACTGGTGCCATTGACCACATTGACTCCGTTGACCCTATTACTGACCCTGTTGACCCTATTACTGGCCCCATTGACCACATTGACCCCATTGACCCCCTTGACCCTATTACTGACCCTATTGTCCCTATTACAGGCCCCATTGACCTCATTGATCGTGTTGACCCCATTGACACCATTGACCACCTTGACCCTATTACTGATCTCCTTGACCCTATTACTGACCCCATTAACCCTATTACTGGCCCCATTGACCTCGTTGACCACGTTGACCCCCTTGACCCTATTGCTGTCCCTACTGACCCTATTCCTGACCCCGCTGACCCCCCCGACCCCGTTCCTGACCCCTCTGACCCCATTCCTGACCCTATTGACCCCCCG